AATCTCTTCTAACTCAGACAAACAAATAAACAACAAACAACCATCCTATAAATCTAAAAATAGCAACAACTCACTATCAAACACAACTCAACAACTACAAACAAAATATTAAAAAAAAACACAGAAAATAAACTAGCTAAAAATAGCAAATTATTCACTAACAACTAATCAAACTCAGACTTTCAATATTTACAACGAATAACCCAAACAGTACTTTAAATCAGAATTAATCTCTCCCCCCAAACTCAATCTGTTTCCAGTCATCAGGTTACCACCACAATCATAATGAAAAAAATAAACTTGGTAACCTAAGGCCAGAAGAGGTTCTGGCCTACTCCTCATAATCTGAGTCATCAGACTCAGATTGAACTAATTCTTCATATTCATATGGGGTGAGAATCTTGTCTTCTTCATCAGTCTCCTCTTTCTCTTTCATAATGGGCCTGATCCTAGATGCAGGTTTCGCAGAACTTGGCCTCCCTTTCTTTCTTGAAGAATTTTCCTGCTCAGCTTTTTTAGCAGGAGGTGCTTTTGGAGCATATGATTGAGGCCTGCAGTACTGCTGTACATGTGGATCAGAATAAATGGAAAGAGGAGCAAAAGTGAGACCATGGGAAAAAACAGGCATAACAGGAAAATTTGCAAAAGTATTTTTGAAAAATTCATTCTTTTTATCCCTTTCAGCCATGTAATCATACAACCTCACTTGATCATAAAGCACCCCATAAAACTGCTCATAAAATTTGTGAAACAACTAACCAGTCCTGTTATTATCTTCCTTCAGCTCCTTCAAAATCGTATAAATGTATGTGAGGTTATTGTGCAGCCACCCTGGATGGTCATGGTTCAATTTAGGGCTGGGCAACCAATCCTCATTATCAAGCGGAGATGAAGGAGGTGTGAACTCAGAAAATTGAGCAGAAGAGCCTTCATCCGAAGCTCTTTTTCTTTCTTTCTTCTTTTTGCTCACATGTTTTTCTTTTAGAACAATTTTTTCCTTTCTTTGCAAGGCTAGGGGTGGGATGAGGTTCATCAGGAAAAACCTCTTTAGTAGTTTCCTTTTCAGGAACTATCAGAATCCCTTTTTTGAGCTTATTGATGCAAGTGAGGTTTATCACCTCCTTAATGTTGATGAACTTATCCGAAGGGTTGTCAACCACACCCTTGGATTTACATATTGCAGAAATAAAACTTGGGAACCAAAGCTTCCCTTTTTTAAAGGAGGCACATGTGCCAATTCCTTTACGAATGAGTAGTGCAACATCTACTCTTTTACCTGCTAGTAGACACCACAAGAGAATGGCCCTGTCCTTGGTAACCAAATGCACATGAGTGGTGGGTAGAAGTTTTGCTCTTATAAAGTCATACCACACTTGAGCTTTTTCCACCAAACAATTTTTATTAATAGTGTGTGTATCTTCATGGACATCCCATTGTGTCCCTGGGACAACAATGGTGAGCAAGACATCTTGCAAAAATTGAGGGTCATTTTTCTTTTTAAAATCTTGATATTTATCCTCACTGCCTTTGGGCCATAGGATATCCTAACTCCTCTACAAACAAGATCAGTTTGCATTTTGCTTATTACCTCAGCATAAAATTCTTTTATAACATTTACATTGACCTCGTGTTGAGGGTGCAAGTAAAATTTATCCCACTGTTAGGATTGCACCACCTCATATACATATGCGGGATAAGAGGTGTGACCCTCAAATCCCTTATCAGGGATTGGTCCCTGCTTTTCATAATTTCTTCAAACCTTTGAAGGATGTCTGCAGAGGTAAAAGAGGTGACTGAATGACTTTCTGGGTCATTAGTAGAGTGTTTTACCTTGGGACCAAATGGTCCTCCACTCCTCAAAATTCCCTTTCTCACCATATTGACAAAATAGACTCTAAACCAAACTAAATATAAACTAAACGAAATTAAACAAGACACAACTAACAAAAAATAAAAACAAGGGATGGAAAACACCAATGATGTGGTTCGAGTCTCCCCCAAACTCAATATGAACTTTCTTTGTTACAGCACCTGTCAAGACAGAATAAATTTTTTTGTTAGAAACAAAAATAATCAATTGAAAATAAATTGTTTTTTTTAACTGTCAGAACAGAACTTAAACTAAAAAAATTCAGATTATTAACAAAGTCAAAACAGCAAATAACATCTTAAAAAAACATGCTTAATTTAAAGTCTCAAGCTACACTATTGTCACTATGTTTTTACAAAGGATAATGGTCACAGAGAGATGGAAATGTTTTCTCTCTCTATTGGTTCTCCAAAATAATGTTTCAATCTTTGGCCATTTACAGTGAATTTTCTCCCATCTTTTTCACTGGTAATTTCCACAGCCCCATGAAGATGTACCTTAGTAACTTTGGAAGGATCAGACTATCTAGATTTCAATTTCCCAAGAAAATTTTTTAATCTAGAGTTAAAAAATAAAACCTGTTGTCCCACTTCAAATTTCCTCTCTAAAATCTGCCTATTATGCCATCTTTTCATTTTTGCTTTATACAACTTGGCATTCTCATAGGCATTAAGTCTAAATTCATCCAACTCATTGAGTTAGAGCAGCCTATTTTTACCTGAAGTAGTGGCATCTAAATTCAGCTGTGTGGTAGCCCAATAAGCCTTGTACTTGCCAAAAATCAGCTTGTATAGAGAGCATCCTAGAGGTGTCTTATATGTTGTCCTATAGGCCCATAGAGAATCATCTAACTTAAGGGACCAATCTTTCCTTGAAGGATTTACAACTTTCTCTAGGATCCTTTTGACTTCTCTATTTGTAACCTCCACTTGCCCACCGGTTTGTGGGTGGTGGGCAGTAGCAACCTTGTGCTTAACACCGTCTTTAGCTAAAATAGCTTCAAATTTCCTGCTAGCAAAGTGCTTACCTCCATCACTTATAATGGCTCTTGGGTTCCAAATCTGGTAAAAATATTCTTTTTCAAGAATTTAATTACCATCTTTGAATCATTTGTGGGTAAGGCAGCAACCTCCACCCGTTTGGAAACATAATCTACTGCAACCAATATGTACTGGTTTCCAAAGGAGGCTGGAAATGGGCCCATAAAGTCTATGCCCTATACATCAAAAAGTTCAACCTCTAGAATAGGTTTCAAAGGCATTTCATGCCTTGCAGAAATATTGCCAAGTCTTTGGCACCTATCACACTTGTGAACATAAACATTGGCATCCTTAAACAAAGTTGGCCAATAAAGACCAGACTGCAGCACCTTTGTTGTTGTCCTCATGCCACCAAAGTGACCAACATATGGTGAGTCATGACATTGTCTAAGAATTTCCTCTTTTCTTCCTCCAAAATACATCTCCTAATGATCTGGTCAGCACATATCTTAAACATGTAAGGCTTATCCCATACATAAAATATTCTATTGTCATGCATCAACTTTTTCCTTTGTTGATAACTTAACTCCTTAGGCAGTACCCCACTAACTAAATAATTAGCTATGTCAGCATACCATGGGATTGTGTGAGTGGCAACCAGAAATAGTTGCTCATCAGGAAAAGTTTCTCTAATGGCTTGCTCAACTACCCTTTCACCTTCCTGCCCTTCATTCAGCCTAGACAAGTGATCAACCACTTGATTTTCGGATCTTTTCCTATCTTTTATCTCCATATCAAACTCTTGTAGGAGAAGGACCCACCTAATAAGCCTATGCTTTGAATCTTTCTTTTCCACCATATATTTAATGGCTGAATGGTCAGTGTACACAATGACCTTAGTGCCTACCAAATATGATCTGAATTTGTCAAAGGCAAACACCACAGCCAACAGTTCCTTTTCAGTCACTGTGTAGTTTAATTGGGCTCCATTTCAGGTCCTGCTAGCATAGTAAATAAAGTGACAAACTCTATTTTTTCTTTGTCCTAACACAACCTCCACTGCCCAATCACTTGCGTCACACATTAACACAAATGGCAGTAACCAATCAGGGGCTATTATTATTGGAGCAGAAATCAGTTTCTGTTTTAGCTCCTTAAAGGCTTTAAGACAAGCCTCATCAAACTGAAATGGGGTGTTGGCTTCAAGCAAATAACTAAGAGGTTTAGAAATTTTTGAAAAATCTTTTATGAACCTCCAATAAAACCAGCATGCCCAAGGAAGGATCTAATTCCTTTTATATTAACAGGGGTGGCAGCTTCTCAATCTGATCTATCTTGGCTTTATCAACATCTAAACCAGCCTTAGAGATCATATGTCCTAACCCTATGCATTTCCTCACCATAAAGTGACATTTCTCCCAATTCAAGACCAGATTTGTCTCCTCACATTTCTCTAGCACTTTTCCCAAATTTTCCAAACACTCTTCATAAGAGTCTCCAAAAATACTGAAGTCATCCATGAAGACTTCCACAAATTGCTCTATCATATCAGTGAAAATGGCCATCATGCACCTTTGAAAGGTGGCTGGTGCATTGCACAGCCCAAAGGGCATTCTCCTAAAGGCAAAAATGCCATAGGGACAAGTGAAAATGGTCTTTGGCTGGTCTTCAAGGGCTAAGGCTATTTGATTATATCCTGAATAGCCATCTAGAAAATAGTAAAACTCCCTACCAGCCAATCTATCCAGCATCTGGTCTATAAAAGGTAAGGGAAAATGGTCCTTTTTAGTGGCTTTGTTGAGTTTTTTTGTAATCCATACAGATCCTCCAACCAATGACAGTCCTAGTGGGTATCAACTCTTTTTTCTCATTTTCCACAATGGTGATCCCACCCTTTTTAGGGACACACTGCACTGGGCTGACCCAATTACTGTCAGAAACAGGGTATATTACCCCAGCATCCAGCCACTTAATAATTTCCTTTTTGACTACCTCCTTCATAATTGGGTTAAGTCTCTTGTGCTACTCCCTAGAGCTGCTGTTTGGGTCTGTCAAAAGAATTTTGTGCATGCAGTAAGAGGGGTAATACCTTTTATATCTGCCAAAGACCAACCTATAGCCCTCTTAAATTTTTTTAGAACAACCAGCAACTATTCTTTCTCTAAAACAGTGAGCAAATTAGACACAATGACAGACAAAGTGCCTTTTTCTCCTAAATAAGCATACCTAAGATGATTAGGCAGAGGCTTGAGCTCTAAAATAGGAGGCTCTTCAACTGAAGGTTTGGGAATTTTTAAACCTCTCTTGGTCAACTCTAATGACTCGAAGTTTTTATTTTTCCAAATCAACTCAGATCTAGAATTTAACCATTTCACAACTTCTTCTGAATCAGTTTGACTTATTTCTAGACCCTCACAACCAGAAATTTCCAATGAGTCTAATGCAGTTTCATGCAAAAATTTATCTTTGACCACACAATCAATGATATCCAGCCTAAAACTTTCCTCTATATCCCTTGGGTATTTCATGGCTTTCAAAATATTAAATTTCAATTCCTCACCATTCACATTCATTACCAACTCACTTTCTTTAACATCTATCGCAGCCCCACCAGTGGCTAAGAAAGCCCTTCCTAAAATTATAGGTACCTCTCGGTCTTCCTCATAGTTCAAAATAATAAAATCAGCAGGTAGAATAAATTTATCTACCTTTACCAAGACATTTTATACCTTCCCTTCAAGATAAACCAGGGACCTATCAGCCAACTGTAAAGTTACAGTGGTAGGATTAGGCTCTCCCACTTTCAGCTTCTTGAACACACACATAGGCATTGAATTTATACTAGCACCTAAGTCACACAATGCTCTGCCTATGTAATGATCTTTTATGGTGCAAGGGATTGTAAAACTCCTTGGATCTCCTAATTTGGGAGGTATCTTGCTGAGAAAATATTGACTGCTCTCTTGTGTAAGAGCAACAGTCTCAAACTCTTCTAGCCTCCTTTTTCTTGAAAGAATTTCTTTCATGAATTTCACATAAGTGGGCATTTGTTCTAATGCGTCCACGAATGGAATGTTAACATGCAACTATTTTAGGAGGTCTAGAAATTTTCTGAACTGATTGTCTTGCTTCTGTTTTTGCAACCTTTGGGGAAAAGGGTGGTGAGGGTCTATTTGAGACAACAGGTGTCTCAACACTTGGCTTAGATGCTTGACCCTTTGGAATGAACTTTTCCATGGGAATAGTCCCTAAAGATGGGTCTGTTTGAGTATGAATTTCTAGTTCAACCATAACAGGTAAGGGATCACTAGTCACAACCTCTTGGTGGCTGTTATGGACTCTAGGTGGCTGATCAGATTCTAAATTTGTCTCTTGGTTTAGATCTTTTTCTTGCTGTAATTCTTCCTCTTCTCTTTTTTTTAATGTGGAAGGTCTAACCACAACTTTTGGCTGATTCACAGGTCTGACATTCCTAAGCTCTATCATGTGACACTGCTCATTATTTCTCCTAGGCTCTTCGGTGTTACTAGGCAAAGTACCAGGGTGTCTGCTATTCAAAGCATTGGCTAAATGGCCTAGTTGGGACTCTAAATTCCTCAAAGATGCAAGAATACTTTGCACTACAGCCTCCAAGCTGTTTTGCTGAGTTTCATTCTTAACCAAATATTCCCTCAACAAAGCCTCTAAGGAAGAGGTTGAAGAAGGAATAATTTCAGCAGCTTGGTTTTGACGATATGGGACTGAAGGCTGAGCAACAGGTTGCTGCCTTGGAAGTTATTGGTAATATTAAAGAGGGAAAAGGTGGTCTGGTTTGGGCATTTGAGGGTCCAGCTTGCTGCCCTTGCCCTTGAAAATATTGGGGCTATTGATTCTGCCTCCAACCTTGATTAAAATTGTTGGAAAAATTATTTTGGTTCCTAGTGGAGTTTCCCACATAATAAACAGACTCGGGGTTGGATGTGCAGCAGTCAAACAAATGGGGCCCACTGCAGAAAACACAAGTTTCACTTGAGCTTATAGCTTTGACTTGAGGTTGGGGCATTGGAACTTGAGGCTGAGCTAATCTTGCCTCAATTGCTTGACCTTGGTTTCTCACTAAAGTGGATAATGCATCAAACTTGGCTGAAAGAGCTGTTACAGAATCTACCTAATACAAACCAGCCACTCTCCTTGGCTGATTTCTCTCATCAGGCCATTGGGCATAATTCTGAGTCATTTGTTCCAACAACTCATAGGCTTGATTAGAGGACCTAGACATAAACATGCCATTAGCAGCAAAATTTGCTAAGGCTCTATTTTGAGTGTTAAGGCTGTTGTACAAGGTTTGTAACACTGCCCAAGAGGGCAAGCCATGGTTGGGACATTTCTTCAGAAGGATCTTAAATCTCTCCCACACATCCACTAAGGTCTCACCATCCTTCTGGATGAAGTTGGTGATATCACATCTGGTTTGCACTATCTTATTGGATGGGAAAAATTTCATAATGAATTTTTCAGCCAATGTATGCCAATTGGTTATGGAGTTGGATGGAAGGGAGTTCAACCACTCTTTGGCTTTGTCAGGCAATGAGTGAGGGAAAAGCTTCAATCTAAGTACATCATCTGAGATATTGGAATTTCTAAAAGTATTGGCAACTTCTATGAAATTCCTAAGGTGCTTATGTGGGTCTTCCATCAGTAGACCATGGAACTGCCCTATATTTTGGAGCATTGTGAACATCACAGGTTCTAATTTGAAAGGCACTGCATTAACAGGCTGGGCAATACTTGGGTCCAACTCATCCAACACAGGTATGATAAAATCCATCATGGACCTATCATTGTCATCTATTGGCTGATTCTCTATCCTCTCACGTTCTTTTTCATTCCCATTTCCATTTCATACGTTCTCCATTTCTCCAAAATCTAGACTTGAAATCTTTCTATTTGCTCTCTAGGTTCTTCTTCTAAGCCTAAAGGTCCTCTCAGGTTCAAGGTCAAAAGCTTCTGAGAAACGGTGTGAAGATGCACTCATGCACCCTTTGAACTAAAAAAATTAAACCTGACTAGCTTAAAAAACTAAAAATCCTATTCAGTATTTTCTTAAAAAAAAAACAAGCAGAACAGAAAAGAAATTCAAACAGAGACAGTATCTCCAAATAGAATTGTAAAACAGTAAAAAAAATACAAACTAAAGGAACGAAACTACTAAAAAAAATAAAAGACTGACACGAAAAAATAAAGAAATAAATTAACTGCCATGAAACAATAAACTAAAAAATTAAATGACAAAACAATTATATAAAACATGGCAGACAATCAGAATCTTAACAAAAAAAAATTCAAACTATCATTATTTCAGAGAAAAAAATAAACAAAAATTAAACTCAGAAACAGCAATCACAAAACAAAAATCTGACAATGTACGCCTTTCGATCCCTGGCAACGGCGCCAAAAACTTGTTGACTTGCTAACAATTATGCAAGTATACGCGACAACAAGTAATATAGGACTTTTGTGAGTTTCAGTAATCATTCCCACAAGGATCTTTTTGGCGAAAAAGTACAGAAGAAAATCTTGCAATTGCCTAGACTGAATTATAAAAAAAAAACTAAAATTAAAATTGGTTAAACTGAAAATAAGAGGAAATTAAATTTCACTTGAAATGTTCTGATTCAAACTTGAGATCACTTAAAAAAAATAAAAAGTAGAAAATAAATGGAGAACATGTTTTTGGTATTTTCCTATTTGATGGTATTTTCACAAAATTACCTGAAAATTTAAATGAAGAATCAGAATTAAAAAACAATGGTAGGAGTTATAATTGAAAAATTGGGTTGGGTTTTGATTCCTTCCGTACAACTCTTGATGCAAGGTACTTGAGAAAAAATTCTCTAAAAAATTATTTTTTCGTTGGCAGACATTTGTAGATTTTTAATCCCTTAAAAATCTTTTTCCCTTTATTCCTACACAACTTATCCCTAAGTTGGTGGAATTCGGAGCTTGAAGTTCAGGTCCTTATACCACATAGAAGAGTAAAATTCACTCCTGAATCACTCCCTCAAGCAATCCCTTATTTGAGTCTATAAGTACAACTCAGTTTCCAGAGAAGAATATTTCCCAATACCCTTCTCCCAACACACATAATCTATTCGCCCAAAATAGAAAATGCATTCAAATAACAATGAGAGTTAAACTTCGGAAAGTAAACATTCATATTAGAAATATAAATTGCATCATTCACTATAGTTGGGGTCTTAAACACTCAACCCTTAAAGAGTTTAGCTCATACCCATAAGGGTTGATCTACAAAAACAGAAATGCAGAAATTACAAAGGAAACTAAAAATTGAAGAAAAATAAACGCTACAGTACGAATGCTATTTACAGAGATAGCTTTGTCACTGTGCTCAACATCCAGAATAGCACACCCAAAATTTACAGTATCCAATCATTCAGAAAAATAAAGAAACAAAAAATAAAAGAAGAAAGACTGAGAGAAAAATTACAGAAGAAGAAGAAGAGCCTACAGAAATTATCCTTGCTCTTTTATACTCAGTCTCACATGCATGGACTTCACGCCTTCCCCTTTCACAGAAATCCCATGCGCTCCTTGCTCTCTCAAATACTCCACCAAATGGATTCCCTCTCCACGCTTGTAACAACCTCCACGTCACGCTTCGGTTAGGGTCAAGTTTCTAGAACTTTGGTCTTTGAATCACTATAGGGAAAAGCTTGTGTGGTTCGATGGTTAACAAAAATAGGAATGGATGATCGATTGGATGGCTGAATGGTTGGCGTGAGATGAGGTGATCGAAGGACAATGGGGGCTAGGGTTAGAATGGCTAAGTGTGTTTACCAAATTCCTTTTCCACGCCGACCCCTTTTCTTTCTTCCTTTCTTTGCCATCTGATGACTAATTAGGTCTTTCTCTTTTCTTTTCTTTCCATTGGGCCTCTTTGATTTGGGTTCCTCGGCCCATTTCTTTTTACTTCTTCTCTTGATTTGACAGCCCATATTTTTCACATCTTTTTACCTGAGACATAAAAACAAACAACTCACTTTTTTTTATTTCACATACTTGCACTCATTGCAATTGGAATTTAATATTAACCAGAAAGTATTCTTTTTCTCACATTTTTATATCATTCATCATGTGTTTTAAGTCATATTGCATAGACTTATCAGTCACCTTCGAAGAAAGAGAAGATTTCTCCAAGAATTGGGTTCACTTGACCCACAGCGAGTGGCTTACTGAGTATTTCATATTGAAAAGGAAATTCAAACGAAGGTTGAAGAAGAATTATGAAGATATGGTGCCACACGAGCAAGAAGCTTTTGAATAGGGAAACAAGATATGGAAATAGCAGAGATGCCCCCGCAATTTTCACTTCAAGCTGCTTATAACAATGTCGAAGAGGAGGAGGATCAAGATCATATAAACCCCATGATCTTAGCAGAAGATTATGTTTCATTAGCAAGTCCTAACCGTAGTGAAGACCCTGTGCTTTCAGCCAAAGGTAAAGAGGTGGCAATGGAGATTTGGGATCGGGTCAAGTTAGACCTGGAGACAATGCAGAACATCACCCAAGAAGCAAGAGATACACTAAATCGGCGTAAGGAGCGTAAAGATGACCCTAAGCTTTCAGAGGAGTATCGTAACAAACTCAAAGGGAAGATGCGTGAAGATCATAACCAAGGTATCGTAAGACCCCAACAATTATTGTTGCATTCTTGTATATTTTATGTTTATGTTCTGTTTTAGTTTTTTTTTCTTTCCTTGATGACTGCATGCATGAGTGTTTCTGTTCTGTTTTTTATTTTCTGTTTTGGGTGACATATAAATAGGATTAGATACAAGCATACAACTAGGGGTGTCAATATGGGTTGACACGACACGAATTCGACACGACACGAATTCGACACGACACGAATACATCAACACGAACACGACACGAATTTTCATTCGTGTCAAAATCTTCAACACTGACACGACACGAATTTTTTGCGGGTTGACACGACACGACACGAATAACACGCAAAATAGGGGACAAAATCGTAATTGACAA